CCCAAGACTTCTTTGCTTTCTTACAGATTTAAAGTCCCCTGCTCTCAATCAATTGGGTCCAAGAACTCAAAATTCTCTAAAGATGCAATCAAATATTTATCAGCGAAAGTTGGTAAAACTGAGAAATTATTTATGGCCCAAATTTTGAAATAGTCACACTTTGAAGGGGGAATAAGACAGCATGTGCTGGGAAGTACGCACTTGTTACGAGGCACACACTCCTGGACAGATCTACCCTGCTGTCTGGAATTCAAAAACAGGGAGGAAATCACAGGTTTGAGGGTGTGTTCACGGCTGGGAGTTTTGTCCTCTTTTCACAAACATTCAGAGATATAATGGAAAAGCACTCCCCAAATTCTAGTAATTTAGCTTCTTATCAACCAATTTATTTGGCAGTTACATGAATTATGCAACAGTCAAAACTATGTCTAATCCCTAGAGCAGTCTGCATGCCTCTCTGTGAATATACAATTCTATATGGCACAACCCTTAACTGGGAGAACACCCCACAGAGGGCTCATTTCCTACAGCACCTTGCTTGATGTCTTTACCCTTTAGTTAAAGGCCTCCTTTCTTGAAAGGAATTCAGGTTGCGATAAAATATGACAAAAAAATAAAAAAGAGAGAAACAGATACTTAACAAAAAAAAAGTACTTTTGTGCCATGATGCCAACTTTTGTGTTGTTTATGATAATTTTATATTTTGCTAAACTTAATTTGTCCAGCATTGTATTATGAAATTCCTAAATGCGGAGGAAAATAAAAAATAGAAGTTTATGGTGCTCCACCATTCTCCCATCACCTAGACTGTACCATCCCCAACTGCTATTCTTGTTTTATCATACACCTCTTCATTAACCCGTCATCCCGCAGTCCAAGTTATTTTTTGGTGTGCTTCGAAGAATTACATTCGATCTTAATGCTGTTTTAAGGAGAAAAATTGTCAGCAAGGATATTTCATTCCATGGAAGAGAATTCTCAGACTACACTTAGCAGCCCTGAGCATATTGGTTAAGGACACAGACTGAAATCTCAAAGAGTTGTCACAAAGCTTGTCTCTGCTGTTTCGGGACTGTGTGACTTGGGACAGGTCCTCTGAGTCTCATTATTCTCATTTGGCACATTGGAAGATAATCCCCATGGGGCTGCTATTATGAGAATTAAACATAATAGATGAAAAATGCTTATGATTTACAGTACTGGACAAATAAAGAATTTGTGATGATTTTTCTCCACTCTGTAATCTTATGAGATCAGGCACTTTGTCTGTTTCCCTTTGTTATTAAATCCCCAGCCTCTAGCACATTGCCTTGTAAATAGCAGTCGTTGAATGTATGCTTGTTGACATGAATTGAGTTGAATTTCAGGGATGTTCCCTCCTGGGATGCAGCAAGTACTTATTGATGGAGAGAGGCAAATACAGTTGGCTTCAAAGGCATGAGACACAATAAAGGTAGTTCAGGAAAGGAGGTGGGAGCAGAGGATAAGACAAAGAGAAAACCTAGCCTGCAAAAAAAAAAAAAAAAAAGTATTTATATTGACTTTAGTGATGGAGCAGAAGCGCACTCTCCTGTCCCACAGACCTCACCTTTTCAGAGCACACCACCGGCTTCTAGCCGCCATAGCCTTGTTGCCTGAAGGCTCTCCCGCAAGCCTCAGAGGCTGCTGTGCCTGTGCACAGAGCTCAGGGCAGGCCGAATGGACTGACAAATCCATGCGTGTAGGACTAACCCTCAACCCACAACCGGTGGGGTTGGCGTGAAAATATCCCAGCTCCCTTCCCTGTGGAGAGGATAGCCCTGATGGTGTGCTCTATACTGTTTTCTACTGTTTCCCTATGGGATTACAATCCAGTCTCTCAGAGTGGTAGCTGTCTTGATAAACAGGTTTCCCAAGTGGCTGCTTCCCTTCCCTTCTCTCTTCATCACTCCCTTACCAGCATTCTCTTTATGAACTAAATAACATACCTGCATTTGAATTCTTGTCTCAGCAAACTCAAAGTAAGACAAGTGTCTTTACTTTTATAACCACAGAATCTCTTCAAATGGAGTGCTACACTGACTTAGAGCTGCCCTCGCTCAGGCAGTTAGGGTGGTTGGGGATGATACTCAGAGGCCTGAGCCTTCCCTCTTTGGCCCCCTTTCCCTTCTCCCCGCCTCCCCAGCACTCACTGAAGATAACCTATAAGCTCTCATAGCTTGGCAGAGCAGTGCTTGTCAGCTACTGGTGGAGTGGATGATGATGAAAGAGATAAAGAAAAGAATAAGATGAATGAATAAAAGCAAGAAAGCACAAAAAGAAAAGTAAGTTCCTTCAAAGGCATAAAGAGCATGGAAAAATGAGTACTTTTTGGAAGGCAGTGCAGTTATTCTGCAAAAACCATCTGGAGTTTTGGGAGGCTTTCACACATTACAATGTTAGTAGACTATCACATTTAGGAAAACAGTTGCTTAGTAGAGAATCCAGGTTGAGAGCCCATGTGGGCAGTACATAAAGCACAGAGGAGAGATGATTCCTCAGCTTGGAAACAAAATTTTGTTAAGAAACAATGCAGAAGAATTTCTCTAGTTAGCTGTACACTTATTGACCCATTGTATACCTCAAGGAAAGAGGCTTATGAAAACTATCTAAATATACTTAGGGGGATGAACCTGTGTGACAGAAGGAAGCTTTAGGATGATCACATAATTTAACGTCCAGGCATGGACATGTTTAAGAGAAAATGCGGTGCTAATAATACTTATGCCAGGACAACCAATTTTCCAGGCAGCTGAGATGTATGATCACCTTTGTCATAACCTAATTAATGGAATCAAAACTTCAGTACTGAAATTATTATATATTAATGGTAGACAGGAAAGGAGAACATATTTTCGATCAGTCCTCTGTAGTCTTGATGTGCACCAGAATCACCTGAAAGTTATGCCCAAACAGGTTCCTGGTCTTATTCCAAGAGTTTCTGGCTCAGGGGGTCTGGGGTTGGACCAAGAATATGCATTTCGAGTAAGTGACCAGGTGATGCTGATGCTGCTGGTTCATACTCTTGAACGAGGACTGGTTTAGATCAGCTTTGGCTGTACATCAGAAGTTATGTGAGGTCTTTTAAAAGTACAGATGCTTGGTCCTCAGCCCCTGGCCAACTGATTCAACCTCTGAGGGTGGAGACTGGCATCTGCATTTTAACTGCCCCAGTGACTCTGAGGCACAGTGAGGGCTGAGAACACCAGGTTTAAAGAACCGGGACACAACTTGTGTCTTTGAAACTGTGGGCAGAGCCTTGCAGACTTGAGGACGTGGGTCCCTTGGCAATTGCCATTGTTGGTTTCAGGGAAAATTACATGAAGCCAGCAAAGTGGCTAGGGCTCTCCGAAGGGGCGGGGCTCATCGGCCCCTCCCCTCTCTGCTTGGAACAGCTCTGCTTCCCTTTACATCCTATCCTGCACCCCGGCAAGGTTTTGCTTAAAGAAAGACATTTGGCACAGTGGTAGTTTAAAATTATAGATACAGTGATTACAAGGACATTGGATAAACAAGGTTTCTAATTTCTGATAGAAGTAGGGTTGATTTCTAATGGTCCAAGTCACCCTCAACCTCCAGATCACTGTAAACCTCCTTCTTAGCCTATCTGTTCCCACTCTTCCCTCCCACTCAACTCTGCTCCCATCAATCATTCCCTACAGGTCAGCCAGAAGGATCTTTCAACACACACACACACACACACACACACACACACGCATGTACGCATGCACCCACACTGAGAAGACCTTCCGGGGCTTCTTGCTGCATGCACAATGAAACACCACCCCTCACTAAGGCCCCCAGGACTTCAATTCTTACCACTCTCTTTTTTGCTTCCTGCATTGTAGACAACCGGACATTCTGCTCCTAAAATATACCCCATTCTTTCCCATCTCCAGGCCTTTTCTCCCAGCCAAGAATACTGTTTACCCAGATATTCCCATGGCTGTCTCTGTCTCATCCTTCCAATCTCCACTCAAATGTCAGTAACTCCGACCAGCCCTCCCAGCCATCTGTGTAAAGATTCCTTCCTCCCTCTACTCCCTGGTCCTGCCATTTACTCTTTTCCACATCACCTCGCTTCTGTTTTTCACAGAATTTGTTATCTTCTGCAGTTTTTTTGTTTATATATTTAGTCATTGGAATATCTGTCTCCTCACTAGAGTACAAGCTCTATCACGATAAGGGCTTGCATGCTCGTTCACACCTATATGTACCCAGTCCAAATGCTGGGGTCCTCATGTAACAGGTGCTCCTTATTTATTTAATGAATGAATAAAACAGCCCAATAGCCCCAGTCATGAGATCATTCATTCAACCAAGCACTACTCAAATTTCAAGTTCATTAAAAAATAAAAACTGGTTAAAATTTGATTTTCCACGTTGACTCTTCTATAGGGAGAGCATGTGTTGACTAGGCAGCGGCAGTGTTTCTGTTGATTTAACAGTGACTTTTGTCTTGTTTTGATTTATGCAAAAGTGTTTTCTGGATCTGGTTAGTATGATTTTGTTTCTTTGATCTGATTCCTTTGATCTGAGTTTTTTGAATGCTGACCCAATGCTGCTCCTGGAATAACACATTTGAAAACTAGGATCTAAATTAAAAGACCGCGTATCATTGCACCACTACAGTAAGGGAGCTTATCTGGGCAGTTGCCTTGACGTTATCTATAAAAAGCAATGAGTCTCTTTCTTAACCAATGACATCTTTCTGACACAACTTCAGTATCATTGCCTACCATGTAGATCTCCACATCATAATATTCAAAACCATTAATTAATTTTTTTTTGAAATTCCTTTTTTATTGTTGTTCAATAAATTTTTGACTTTTTTTTTTTTTTTTTGGCAAAAGACCTTGTCCTCCTATCATAGAGGAATTGAGGCCAATTCCAGCTGGCCACCAAGACAGCCATCTTGTCTCATGTATGCTCATCTCTTAATAAAAAACATGCTTTTGTCATTTGTCTTTTGTCTGACTTACCTTGCCAACGTCTCTTGGGAAAGGTTGTCTCTGATTCTCTGGAATCAAAATGGGAGACACCACAATGGACCTCTTTTGTCTTGGGACAGGAGAAGTTCTTGCAAATTTAAATATATCCTAAAAGAGAAAAAACATAATCAATTGACCCCACGGAGAGGATACATCTGCGCTGTGAGATATGGCTGCTTTGTTGTGAAGGCATACGGCTGTTTGGACATTGTTAATTTTATTCTATCAAACCTCATTAGCGTTAGCAAGTACATCCTTAGAATTATACTAAAGCTGACATTGTGATTCACAATGACTATCATTAAGCTATTTAATCCCATTTTCTGAATCATTCTATTCACACTGTCAGTCTTGATTTATACATCTTTTAGTACCATGTATTCCCGCTCTGCTCTTTATCTGCCAGCTGAGGGGATTGCTCACCTGGCCATGAACCCACAGTGCTCACTGGGTGTAAAAGCGGCTCTCCGTGGGGCGAACTGCAAGGTCCTCACACTCCCAAATGAACAGGGATGGAGGAGCAATCACAACGTTCCAAACTGTCAGGCATTATGGAGATTTGTTGTTGATGTTTTCTCAAGGATCGTTTGGTATTATTATCAGAAGGAGAACTGTTCTAATGCACCCCCCACTCAGGGCGTCCCAGCCTTCAGACACGGGGACCTCACTGTCAGGATGTCTGCCCTATCTATTTTAACTAAATAAATGTGTGCAAGAGCCCCTTTATAACAGTATTTAAAATAAAGGGCCAGTATTGATGTTTATGAAATGTAGGAAAATATAAAAATTACTGGAGACCAAATGATGGTATTAAATTTGAGCTAGAAACTCCAGAAAAAAAAGTGCCGCTTTCGAAAAAGGAGATAAGAAAGGGCTAGAGGGGTGCTAATGTGCTGTTAGCACCAAACTGAGACTTTCTCCTTGATCTGATCAGAGGACTGAAAAAGAACTGAAAATAGAGTATCATTTTCAACATATAAACTAATCTTATTTACTGCCACATACTAAAATTATCTTATGTATCATCAAAAGTAAGCACCTCAAACTTTTACAACTGGTTCCTATCAAAATCATGTGGCAAATATTTAAATATCATCACTGACAAACATGTCCCATAAAAGTAAGTGTATGCACACACATATATCACATATATATACATGTATACAAATATGGAAACATATGCATCTATACATACAAGTATTATAGTTTTAAAAGAAAATCTACATACGTCAAACAGAAAACAAGATAAGGAAAGCCTATGGAAACCCCTATAAATAATCTTCCTCTTGATTTTGCTGGGAGTATAAAGTGATGGTACAGCGGTAGAAAGTCATTGGGTGATATTTATCTATTGAGAACCTTACAAATGCACATGTCCCTTCACTCTGTAATTTCACTCCTAGGAATAAACACAAATAGTATTAAATTCAAAAGAAGAATAAAACTGTACACAGAAAGATGTTTAATGAGACATTACTTATAAAGGGCAAAAATGGCAGACGACCTAAATGTCCCGCCATAGGACAAGGTTAAACTGGGCCCATAAAAGTAAGAGATGGAGATACTTTTATGCACTTTTGAATAAGATGATTGTGAAGATCATGTTCTAACTACAGTATCATCATTTGACTTGCTGCCACCATCATCAGCACTCACTACTATTATAGCCACAATTTATAAAGTTGTGTTGGGCAATGTGCTAGTTACTTTCCACATATCTGCAATAAACTTCCCAAGTAAATCTAAGCCTTCCTCAACCAATGAGGGATATCAAGTTCCCAGTGGTTATGTTACTTGCTCCAGCTCACCTAGCCAGCAGAGAGAATACATAAAATAAAATGTGTAGGAAAATATAGAATGCCATACTGGATACCAATTTTATATAAACTATATTGAGCATTGAAAAATACTATTTGAAATCCCAGTGAGTCCAAATAAAACATTGTTTGGTCTCTAGAAGGACCAAAGTATCAATATTCAAGCAAAGACAGAGAACTAGGGTGTATGACTAGAAAAGACAGTGAGAAGAAAGAATAAGAAGGGTTAAAACAAATAACAATAATAACTCAACTAACAACAACAGAATGTATATAGCCCAAGCCTACCAAGCCAAAACCAGCAGAGAGAGAGTATGGAACAGACAATGAGAAGACAATGAAAACACAGGGTGGATTATATTCATAAACCACTGACACGTAACATCTATGAAGATTCTATTGGTTTATTAGGGAATGAGAAAAGAACAGAAAATATGTAAAATATGTGCAATATATGAAACTTATTTACAATAAAAAAAGTCTTGAGGCTCAGATGAGAGACTGTCTGGGGAAGCACTCAGGAAAGATTTAAAACCCTACGCAAATGTAAAAGATTGGTGATTCAGCTCTGTAACAGAGCAAACATAGGTTTTAGTTCATTATGACAATATATGTGTAAATGTATCTAAAGTAATGAAAAGCATGCTGTATTATCAATAGCAAAATTTCCACTGTTTGTAGTAAAAAGCTTGTTTGTGTTTGCAAGCCTTTTGCCCTCCCAAGAGCCCAGGGTGGTCAGCTCCCTGAGTCCCCATCCCTACTTCTGGGGTGTGCCCAGCGCACCAGCTGGCCAAGCCTGAAGCTGCCAGGCCACTTCTGTGACTCTCACAGCATCCCAGAAGCTTGGCAACAAGCACAATTGTGTCAGCTCCTGGGTCTACCATGTCTAAGAATAGAAAAAGGAGGCTCAGAGTCTCAGAATGGGAAATAGACTCTGGGCGGGAGGGATGCAGGGGGTGGGGGGTGCGGTGACGGCTATAGCGACGCCTGCACGTGCTTGAGACTCTCTGAGCCCAGGGCGCCCTTTCTCCCCTGGCTTTTACCTTTTGCCTTACAATGGCAGGAACTGCAGTAAATATTTGTCTTTGACTGTGTGTCTATTTCTGTGGCTCTCTTTCTGCCTTTGTCTGTGATTTATGTCTAAATCTATAACTATGAGTTTGTTGACAATGTGTACCTGCATATTTGCTGTTGCATCCACCTTTGAGTGGATCTATGCTGCTGAGTTTTTCTGTGTGCTCCGAAGCCATGTGCTTCTTTCTATGTAACTGGGACCATTTAGAAGCCATAACATCTGATTTGGGCGACAATCATATACTCTATGCATATCTAAGCACATGTGTTTAACCACGTTTATCCTAAACTCTGTTTGCGTGTTTCTATCTGTCAACCCTTTGTGTGAAGCCTCTGAATGCACCAGACTGTGGCCATAACCTCAAGGAAAGAAAAGACAGAAGCAGTGGGGATAAAAAAAAATTGGTGACCAATTATAGATGGAGATGAAATAGGGTGTGGGAAAGAGCAGAACGTAAGAGCAAAGCTGAGGCTGCGTTAGGACTCACTGCTTTCTGGTATTGTCATTACCAAGAAAGTTGTCAAAGAGGGGAAAAAGACGTTTGGGGCACAGATTCAAGATAGTATAGACTTGTTGACTTTGAGGGGCTAGTGCATATCCAGCAGGGACTTCTACAGGGTATATAATAAAGATTTGTTTTCAGAGGGTGAATCAGGAAAAATGTCACAGTCACTGATATATAAGAGGAGAGCTGGATGTGATGGAAAAGCTGACACTTTGATTATGTGACGATGGAACAGGGAGGAACTTGACCATTCATTGGGTTTCTAAAAGGCCAGCAAAAGCCACAGAAAAGTTCGTTGGCAAAAAAGAGAAACTACAGAAGGACTAACAGATGAGAATTTCAAGAAGGAAAGAGTTCATGGCCGTGTTACACAGCGCAGATGTCCTTTCCAACAAGCAAATACTCTGACGGGGCTTTGGGCTTGATGATGAACAGGCAATCGACGATTTAGGGAAGAGCAGCTTCAACTGTGTACGGGGGGAATGTCAGAGGAACTAATGGGAAGTGGGGAGTTGGGTACAGAAGGAAAGGAAAAAAATTGGAAATAGTTTGCTAGTTAAAGGGGAGACCAGGCAGGGTGGTGGGCTTGAGGAGGAAGGGGTCAGAGGAAGGAAGCTGTAGCTGAGAGAAGACGCAGCCTGAGATGAATGCCCAGAGGAGGTGGGGAGGGAGTAGATCAGCCCCACAGCCAGCCTGAGAAAGCAGAACGAAATCCACTTTCCTTGAGGAGGACAGAGAGAGGTTTAAGGGGAATCTCTCATCTGCAAAGGAGGACCACTTGCTGTGCTTTTGGTTATCAGAATGAAATGAGAACTTGTGCGTGGAGGTGGCCTGAGCTCCCCAAAGAACAGCAAGAAAGTGAAGGATGGGTCCTAGCGATGCCAGAATAGCAGAGGTATAGAAGACAAGCCACTCAGTCCCCTTTAAGAGTGAGTGATTCAGTTGTGGGTGGCCAAAGGCCAGATCTTAAAGGGGTATACCTAGACATGCAGCCACCTAAAGATGTCCAGATTCACTAGATGCATGCACACTGATGTCAAAATTGTCTCTCATCAAACACAAACACTCAGCACAAGTGAATGTGCACGTGCGCACCCGCACACATGAGGAACAGACAGAGGAGAGTGTGCAACTGGCCCGCGCCTCCCTCGGACCCACCCTACTATACCCTGCGGTCACTGGGCAATGACCCATCAGCGGCTTTGAACCTAGAACAGCCTGAGGCCTGCGGCAGCCTCATCCAATCTTGCAGAGGTCAAGGGGACAGAACTGTGTTCTCAGGGAGGGTCGCTCTGCTGGCTTTTATTACAGGAGAGTTGTCACCCTTACACAAACATCCCTGTCTCCTGCAAGCTAACAGGAGCCTTCATCTTTCTGTCATAGTGTATTTGGGATTACAATTTCATTTGCTTTCCTCCCTGTTTCTCAATCTCAGGAGAGACTGGCAGCACATGGAGAGCAAAGTTCATGATACCCGGGGTGAGGGGGATGTCTCATCACACAGCCCCAAGGAGCACTTCAGACATACAGGGGTGACCCCTGCAACCATGAGGGTGAGGGCGGGGCCCACGGGAAAGAGGAAGGCAGAGAGAATGAAAAATGTGAAAGTGGGAGAAGGAAAGGATTCATGTTCTTTCACTCATTCATTTCTTCAAAAACTATCTGCTGGGAGTGCTTCTAGGCATCTGGGGTAGCACAGTGCTCAACAGAC